TTTGTTTTGAAATAAGAAAACCAAAACCGGGAACCAAGCTGTTTATACATTTATAAAAAAGGGGAAGTATGGGTCATTTATTTATTTTTTTTATTTTTTTATTTTTTTAAACCAACAACTGGAAAATGGGTTATTTTCCATTTTTTGTTCCCCCATTCATAAATGGTGGTAATTTTGGTTCTCATTTCAAAACAAAGATCTGTTGGCCGCAAAGTACACTGACCGTATCGTTGTACTGCTACGGTTCTCTGGTCTTTATTGACATCCCTGTCTGCTGAAATGCTGATTACAGCTGACAGTGGTAAAACAAGTCCCTGGATCTGGTCTTGATCAGGATTACTTTAGCCTACATTGTTAGCACTGCCCTGAACCCTCCTTCCTACATCCTCTCCACCCCCATTCTCTGTGTCCATTGACAGATGTGTCATTCTGAGACTAACTTGTCTACTAACCAACTAATTTTTAAGGGGCCGCCTTATATAGTCCCCTTTCAGTTTTAATAATATGTGGTATCACATATCAGCAAACACACCAGGGCATCCTGTTACAGATCCAGCACTGAGCTCACAATGAACTAGCACACCGGCTGACGCTGGGGAACTTACAATCTGCTGACGAGGGGGTGGCAGGAACTAGTTCAGCAGACTGATCGCTGCTGACGGACACTTTGGATCCCACCAGGTCTATCTTAGTGCTGCGGCACGTGTTGGAGCAGACCTTAGTGTGCTGGTAGAAGTCCAGTTCACCTGAGTCCATGATCTTCCTGTGAAATGAAATGTGGCTGTTAGGAGGCATGACACACACCATGTCTGATGGAACAGTGCCATCCTGAGGAATATTTGTCAACTGCACACCAACCACTGAGCAGAAGGAAGACAGAATCACATCATCATATTACAGCATTTCACCATTATCACCATCTTCTACAGCAGAGGTCTCAAACTGCTGGTCCACACACCATTATGATATATAATATAATCCGACCAGCAAAATTTGTATTTTTATATTCTTTTCAAGTTGTTTCATACAAATTTGTTTCATACAAATTTCAACTACCCTAGAATAAAAACAAAAAACATTCATCACACACAAACAAAGTATTTAGTTTGGGTTAGTGCAAAGGGTTGGTAAGAAGGGAGCCGAGTTCAGGCCTTCTAAGTAATGTAGTGAGTTAGTTGCCAAAGCAGTTAAGTCATTCACTAAAGGGCAGTTTCTGAACGACTGCATGTTGCAAGTCGCTGATATGTCCAGAGAAGAAGAGGTTTAGCGATTTCTGACCAGTTGCGCTAAAACGAATACAAAAATCACAATAAATTCAACCCAGCTCTCCATTATTTGTGAGAGCTTCGATTAAGCCAAATTCCTAAAACACACAAAATGATCAAATGGACACGTTTAAAGTTAAAAAAGGGTCCAAAAGTCAGTTGAGAAGTCCTGGCTGTGTCCTGGATAGGATATGCATCCCTATACAGTGGTTATGATTCAATATATTGTGGTACTATAAGAAAGGCCATATATTGTGATTTCTTTGTTGTAGTTTTTTTTATGCAACCAGAACAGTGGGATCTACATCTGTATTTATCACCTGTCACATCACAGCCCTCAGTTTACTTTTACAACACTGCTATCTAGTGGTTAGATGTTTAAACACAAAATAAAACACCATGTTTTTGAGAATCGATACAATATCACCATATTCCAGTGTATAGATATTTTCTTACACTCCTAGACACCAGTACTGTAAACAGGTAATACATTTGTTTTTTCCAAGATGTTTTATTTGAAATTTGCAACAAAATAAACTAAGGGTTTGATGAGTGCAGACCTGAGCATGGTGCCGTTGAGACGGATGGCTCTCTTCCAGTCCTTCAGAGTGGATTTCCCCGCTAAACACACAAACTCCTTTGGGCTGATGAGCTGCTCATGGAACTGACCAGAGAGGAGAGAAAAACCGTCATTAGCTGTTGATGATCCACATTTACTGTATCACCTTACATGTGTTCAGAAATGTGATTTTACAAAATGCAAAATACAGAGCGTACCTGCACACATTTTACATTAATCCCAGGGCAGACAAATTTCTTCCAGACCAGCGTGGCTTTGGCATCTCCACAGGTGATTGGGTAGAAGACATCAGCCTCCACGTCCACCTCCTCAGTTAACTTCACTGCAGAGACAGAGACCGACACACCCTCATACAGCCATCGAGTCTCATCTGATCACACAAATTGAAGATGTAAAAAGTAAAGATTATTATGTAAGTTGAACCAAAGAGACTGCACCTAATGAAACATACAGCATACATTTATTTCAGTGACTTTACACAATCATAGAATAACAGAATACCACAGACAAACTCTTCATTTTACTACATCATCTTAGTTCTCAATAAAGCAAAAAAAAAAAAGATAATTTTAAAAATGTAAATAATAAAGTCCCACAGGTGACATTACCAATGACTGCCTCTTCCTTCGACAGTGAATCTGTTGTGCTGGCCTCAGCTTCTGCTTCCACTGGTGCTACTGTGAGGATGTCCTCCCTGGAAAACCACACCCTTTTTAAGTTTCAATTCAGCAAAGTGAACAACAGGAAAATCTCTGCAACAAAGTGTGTGGGCTTATAGTTACCCCGGCTGAGGGGTCAGCTCTGCAGTAACCAGCACTGCTTTGTCCTCCTCCACCACGGGGGGCAGGTCCTCGTCCGTTGCTTCTGGTATGGTGACGATCACCACCTCGCTCATTTCCTGCATGCTGACCTCTGAGGAAGCCATTGAGGACTGATGGAGCTTCACAACAAACAGCGTGACAGGGAGAGAAGGTCATTGGTCTTGATATTGAGGAAGAAAATTCCCATTATACAGAGACTTGCTAAGCAAATGATAGGACTGGTTGGGTCCCTTTCATACTCAAATGTGATGTTACTACGTTACTACTTATACGTCTACCGACTGCCTGATCCATGGCTGCCTTTTACATACTGTTTAGTGTATTGGTCTATGTATAAAAGTACCTAATTTCATACAATATTTTATATATATTATATTATATTTGAACGACGTATGAGTAGATACTTTTTTAGGGGTTTTAATGCAGAATGTATACTTTTTTGTGAGAAAACTATATCAGACACACATCATTGCTCCAAGCTGACTATTTGTATGTATGTCTTAATAAATGTCTGGAGGGGAGCTTTAAGTTTCCAACAGGCTAAAACTGTCAGTATGTAAATGGAAGTACACTGGGGAGAGCAATGGACAAGAGTGTGCAACACATCTGGAATACTAAACCCTGTTCGGACCTAAATAAATAACTAGTAATAATAAATGTTCGTAATGAGAAGATGCCTGATAACGTACTCTCGTTATACAGACTAGCATGAGGGCTAACAGTACCGAGGAGGAGGAGTTGAAACGATTCTTCTGTCTAATACATTAATGCCGGGAAGATACCTGAGAGTACACCATACTCGCCATTGCCTTACATGGTGGCGGCTCTAAATGTGTTGGCTGTACATCAGGATTAATTTAAACTTGCAAGAGTTTTGACTGGGATCTGGTGTGCCCGCTCTTTATTCTACTAGGACGAAACGGGGCGTGATGAAGCTACCGCATATAAGGTGTAGGCATAAGGCGTTTGACATGTTGGATAAGTCTTACCTTTTGGTCTCAATTAAACTGTCCTTAGTTGCTTAATGTTGTCGCGGAGAGACAACCAGAGGGTGTGTGTCTGTTCTCCCGAGAGGATGGGGACGTTTCTCACTGAGCTAGCAGTCTAGCTAGCTAGCTAAACGGAGAGTGCAGCGGAGCCGTCCATTGAGCTGCAGGCAGGACTCTCTCTTATTCCTCAAACAGCTCATCCGCCCACTAATGTAGGATTCTGATGATGAATGATCCTCGCTAAAAAATACATTTAATCTCATCTTCACAAGACTACATCAGGGATGTAACGTTAGCAATATGAATATATTCCGCTGTCATTCTTCTTCTTTGTCTTTATATGGATTGTAAACCTACATTAAAGGTACACGTCGCCAACTACTGTACAAACCAGAGTACAGCATTACTTAAAAAATAGTTATATATATATATATAAAATTATATGAAAATGGAGGCCTGTTTTTCATAGATAGATAGATAGATAGATAGATAGATAGATAGATAGATAATAGAGGAAACGCTACCTGCCAGACTAATCTCAGGAACAAATGTCCCAATGGACAACCAATCCGTTTGGTCACCCACAAAGAAGAAGAAGAAGAAGACATGCGCACTAGTGCACCGGTATGATTTGCGGTATGAATGTTGGAGCTGTATCTCTGTTTGTGCCGATATGATCATATGATCATATGATATTAGAAGCTTCCGTATTATCAGGCCCTCTCTACCAGTCACGTGCTATGTGAATATTATATTGACATTTATTTTAGAGTCTTGAGAAAAGGCTTGTTATGCCAACCGCTGTAGAAGAAGAAGAAGAAGAAGAAGAAGAAGAAGAAGAAGAAGAAGGAAGAAGAAGAAGAAGAAGAAGAGG